CTGCCGTACCACATGGTGATACAGCTGGTCAAGATGCTCTCAATAGTGCATCTGTAGAAGCTGAGACATACCAAACCTCCTCAGCCTCCTCAGGAAGTACAGCCGCTGTTGTGCTTTCTTGACGAGCTGTGTAGTGTTGAGTGTCCAGGTGAGGTCCTTGCTGATGTGGACACCCAGGTATTTGAAGCTGCTCACCCGCTCCACCTCAAGCTCCCGGATGAACAGTGGTCGATGAGGTCTCCTCTCCTTCCTCATATCCACTATTAGCTCCTTGGTCTTGTCCGTGTTGAGGGTGAGGTTGCACCATGACACTAGGCTGACCACCTCCCTCCTGTAGGCCGCTTCTTCCCCTCCAGTGATATGTCTGTTTATTGTCTAGCGATGATGTGAAGATGCTGAAGAAATTCTCCGTTGATACCGTCTTGTTGATATATAAAAAAGTTTATTCAAACAAGTACAATATCTCAGACGTCTGTGAGAGGATTCGAAGCCAAAATGAATCACTGTCCTGAATAGACAAAGCCACTGGCTTATACAGGGGAGTTGTTTTTGTCACAGAAACCAATCATTCGAACCATATGGGCAACCCCCCAACTTTTAGGCTCTGAGATGACCCCCTATATTGACCTCTGACCTGTTCAGTTTATCAAAACATTCCAGAGTATTGGGGGTAGCGTGTCAGACACCACACGTCCTATCACTGCAGCGTCATCCGCGAACTTCAGGAGGATGTTGTCTTTGTGGGAGGCGACACAATCATGAGTAAACAGGGTATAGAGGATGGGGCTGAGGACACATCCCTGTGGTGTGCCGATGTTTGTGATGATGCTGGCTGAAGTCCTGTTTCCCATCCTGACAGACTGGGGCCTGCCAGTCAGGAAGTCTAGGAGCCAGTCACAGAGGTGCAGACCAAGCGTGGACACTTTGTGGGTGAGTTTCTGGGGGATGGCCGTGTTGAAAGCGGAGCTGTACTCAGCAAAGAGTATCCTGGTGTAGGAGTCTTTGTTTTCCAGATGTGAGAGAGTGGAGGGCAGCAGCGATGGCATCTGAGGTTGATCTATTTGGCTTGTAGGCATCCTGCAGGGGGTCCAGGTTGTCTGTAATGCTGCTCTGAATGTGGGCTATTAGCACTCTCTCAAAACACGTTGCGATGATTGGTGAGTGCCACTGGCCTGTCGTCATTCAAGCAGGTTGGGGAACTCTTCTTGGGGAGGGAGACAATGGTTGTGGTCTTAAAGCATGATGGAACGGTGCTCTGGCTGAGGGAAAGGTTGAAGATAGTGGTGAGAACAACAGCCAGCTCGTCAGCGTATGCTCGGACGGCCCACCCAGGGATGCTGTCTGGTCCTGCTGCCTTGCGGGGGTTGTTCTTCCTCAGAGCTCTGTGTACCTGGCCCGATGAGACAGCTGGTGGAGCAGAGAGGAGGTGGGTGGTCCAGGTGTGTGTGTGTGTGTCTAGACTCTGTGCTACAGTTGGAGGCCTCAAAGCGGGTTTTTCAAATGGCTTGCAGTGCCATGCCACATCCTCCCAGAGTCAGCAGTAGAGCAGAAGCCGTCCAGCTTCTCTCTGTACGGCCTCTTGGCCACTGTGATGGCTTTCCTCAGGCCATACTTGTCATGTCCGTCAAGTTTCTGTTTGTGTGCACGTTTTATGTCTTGTCTTTCCTGTTTTATTTTGAAGTCATTTCACCAGTTGTTTTTGTTCAGCTTTACTTCCTGTACCTGTCTCGTCTCACCTGTTCCCTGATTACCTCCCCGCACCTGTTTCCCATCTCCCCTCATTACCTCGTGTATATCACTCTGTGTGTCTCACTGTCTCGTCGCCAGTTCGTTGCACTTCACAGTCCTCGTACCAGCGTTATTTCAAAGTCAAGTCATAGTCTGTCTGTTCGCGACCTCGTTTCTGTTTTTTGGACCTTGCCTTTTGCCTCTCGATTTCTGGATACCTCTGCCTGATCTGATTGACCTTCTGTGTACCGAACCCTGAACGGTAATAAACCTGCCTTTTTGCCTAAACCTCCTCCGTGTCGAGCATTTGTGTCCACCTGCCTGTCATTAGGGAGTTCTTGACAATAGCTTTGCAGCTTTGCACTCTGTCTCATTGCCTGATCTGAATGCATGAGAGCATTCATTTCAAAAGATGTGCCCCGGCAGCCTTAAAGGGGTTTTATGATTTCATATTTCCATAAAGGTTCAAAAGCACAGTTGTTGAAGTCCAAGCACCAGATGCTAAAACATCCGGATTCCTGACTTAAGGTAGCAAATATGACTAAAGTTCCACAAACACTTCCCATAATGCAGCCAACACTGTCTTGCCTGCTCAATTTAAATTACATATTCCAATTTGTAATGCAGCCCATGTTTGAATCTTCTAACATTTGAAAGTCAGAATCCCAGTATGAGATAAATCTAAAGAGTCTGAGCAGTAAAACTCTCCTACTATCAGAGGTCCTGATCAGTTTGATGAGCTGCACCTCTATGAGCAGAAGTAGCTGTTGTTACAGCGACATTTGACAGCTTACTATCATAAATACACAACACTGTTCAGTGTAGTTTGAGTGTCACCTGTGCAGCTGTGGCACTGATCAGGTTCCTTTACCTTATGTTGTCTTGCAATGTACAGAAAAGAAAAAAAATCCAACTAATTCCAACAATCTGCTGTTAAAATGGTCATTTATAATTTATTCATAATTCATCATTTCATACTAATAAACACAAGAAGTCACCATAATGTGTCCTAACATGCACAGTCTGAAGTCTCCACATTTACAGACTGCACTGATATTTCATAGAGAACATTTCACTCTTCTTTAGATGCACTGGCATGCTGTTGTGCATTTTGACTAGAACCAACATGACAGCTGGCAGAGCACAGATAATTTAATAATCATGAGGCCTACATGTCAAAAAGCATGTCTAGTGGACAGCAGTATGTGCAGTCACAGTTCTATTTGCACATGTACTGTAGCAAGAATAGCATAGAATCGAATACAACAGAACTTTATTGATCCCTTTGGATTGTACACAATCGTAAGATGTGGGACTTCAGTATTTTCTTACACTGTTAGTTTTATAGTTCCTCACACTTCTCTTTGAATCTGTACAGCACTTTGTAACCCTGCTTTGAAAAGTGCTATATAAATAAAGTTTATTATTATTATAGGATCACCCCAACACTGTTAGTTTTATCGTGTAACCCTAACCCTGTACATAGAATAGATAACGATCACAAACTCTAACTGTTCAGTCTGCTTCTAGCCAAAATCAAAAAATGCTGACTCTGCAAATGCTTGTGTCACAACAACAACAATAATATTAAATATAGTAATGATACAGTGTCATGTATTTAATGATTTAACGTTTGATGATACACATCTGAATACAGACTCACTGCATGTCACTCTCATAAAACCAGCGTTTTCAGCCTTATGGGATGCTATAATCTCCTCTGACAGAATTCTGAATGTCAATAAAAACTGTGCACAGACACAATCCTCCATTTTGTATTTCTTTGGGCTTTTTACTTGCATCTCTTTTTGCTTGTTTTGTATTTGTTTGTGTTTTTGTTGCACATCTTTGTAACATTCATTGTTTTGTGTCTATTCCTTGTAATTTTTCTCTTTCTGTCTTGTCGTCGTTTAATAGACTTTCCAACTTGTTTCATTGACATGACAGATGAGTGCAGCGAACCCTGCAGGGCTGGTTCCTGTGTTTCAGCTGTGTTACTTCTTCCTGTCTATCTTGCTCATCACGGCCTTGACGTCCACCGGAGCAGAGGCAGCGGCGGCTTTGGCCTTTTCCTCCTCCTCCTGCTGCCACAGGATGATGGGATGGATGCCTGGACTGCGGCTGTTGGCATTTTGCTCCAGCTGGGCTGGACTGGGGTGGAATAAGGAACATGATGAACTCAAGATGATGGTAAAGAGACACCCTCACAGCTGTTTTTGTTTCACATCTTTCCAACATATCAAATTTTAAAAAGACATAAAAGGGGGACATTTGCAAAGGGGTTAAATACTTTCTATATGCGCTGAAGGTGTTTGTTGCTGTATTTATGTGTACAATCTTCCCAACATGGCCAAATGAATTTCTGCGGGTTATTTGAGAAAATGTCATGTTTCTATTTTATATGAACTGAAGATATTACATTTCAAAGCTCCATTTCATGAAGATGTAAAATTACATTTTCAGAAGACGATGGATTTATTTTCCATTGCAGTTTTTTCTACAGTCTCTTGTTTTGTTTTTCACCATTTTTCTCATGAAGCCTCCTGTCTCGCTGATAGCTGCTGTAATGCCTCTTTAGAGGATAAAACCTTTCTGGTAGCTGGAAGCTACATCGAGTGTTTGTGTGAGTTTGGGCTTTAAATGCCACGATCATGAGGACAAACAACAAGCATCACAAGCACATTTTAAAGCCTTTTCTACTCTGTGTAACTTTACAGGAAGTTTGTTCTGTTTCTGACAAGATCGTAGCTCTCTGACACAAATAAACGACTTGTCTGTCAGATTTTCTCTGCATGTCACCTTTGACAGTTGTTTGTTCTTAACTTTTGTACTTTTATTTCTGCGTTACAGTTTCTGAATTGGTGTTGTGGGTGTAACATCTAAACACTGTCTTTGGCAACTCTCACATTTGGATTCAACATCCAGTAGGTTTGAGACCACATTTAAGTAACTATCTAGTGACAACTGTACACCTGGTTTACATTGAATGTGACTATTTGCTTCATACTTTTGTCCACTTTGACTCAGACAAAGACACGGTGGAGCTGAAATTATAGCTATGAATGAATCAGTGTGCCCCATTCTGTTTTCTACTCTGCTATTGATATGTTTTGTTTTATATATACATAAAGGCAAAAGCCCAGTATACATGTGTATATATATATACATCTATACTGGGCTTTTGCCTTTATTTAGAGCAGCAGAGAGAGACCTGCAGCAAAGGGAACTGTTCATGCTGCTCAGCTCGGGGAGCTATAGGGACACCCTGCTATTGATATGTTTAATGAAAACTAGCGCTGTGCCTGTTTTGGCTCTACCTTTTTACATTTGCATTTTGTATTTGAATTCCCTGCATTAGATTGTTATTTATTGGTGTTCTTTGTTTTTATTCTGTTCATATGTGAACTCTTGCTGAGTAAATGTTCCCTACAGTGGAACAATGCAGATAACGTTGAATCTTGAGCATTTTGTTTCCACGTGGCTGTGACATAAGCAGGATCAAGTCCGTATGTTGTGGGTAGGGACAACTCTTCAGGCAGTATCCTCACTGGGCCAGGGTTCGGGTAATACCAACCTGAAGTTATGAGTCTCAGGGTTCAGTGCCTTCTTCTGGATATCTTTGTACACAGGTGACTTGAGGTAACGGAAGAACGTGTCCTGTGTCAATGAAAGAACAGTAGACAGCTGATGACCTCAGTCTCACATGGTATCGACAATGTCGCAGCTTTGATGTGAAGCAGCAGCAGCGTCTGATCTTTTTTCCCCGCTCTCACCCAACCGGTCGAGGCAGATGGCCTCCTTCCCTGAGCCTGGTTCTGCCGGAGGTTTTTCTCCTCCCTTGGAGGGTTTTGGTTCCTTCCCACCGTTGCCAACCACTTGCTCAGAGGGAGTCCAAAGGCTGCTCTGGACTGTTGGGTTCTCTGTTTAAACCTGTGAGGTCCATACCTGACTACGTTAAGCGCTGTGCGATAACGTGTTGTAAACTGCGCTATGTGAATAAAATGTTAGCTTCCTGCTTTTTGTGTGTGCTTTCTACTTTCATCGATTATTCTGTGTGCTTACTGTATTTTAATTTTAATTTATTTTATTGAAAAGTGCTCTATAAATAAAGTTTATTATTATTATTATAAAACTGAAATCAAAAATTGTTCTGACGACTGCTGCAGCCTCCATCCAACGTGTCATATGAACCACGTTTGGTCTGAAGAGATGCTTCATTCATCTAATGAATCACAAATCACTTATTGGTATTCATCAGCAGCACACACTGATAATTAACATCAACACTGGCTATTGGTCCAGAAAGAGACGCACCTTTTTCATGAGCAAGAAGACGTGTGTCTGAGCTGCCTCCAGAACGTATCGGTGGGGATGGTCCAGACCCTTCACTGTCAGACCCATTGTCCTGCCATCGATGTTGATCCAGCGAGGGGCTCCGGGGGCCAGGAAGGTCCTGCGTACACCGCCCTCACATCATTACACATATGCTACTGGTATCTATATATATATATGTATAGCTAAACGTCAAAAGAGGGGAAGTACAGTTCACTGAATGTTCAGAAATATAATACTTTTGAAACTTTGATTCTTATGAAAGTTTTTGTTTTTCAACTCTGGCTCTCTTGTCTCTTGTGCCCACATGGTTTAATTCTTTTATGAAGATCACGCAAAAACATGACATTTGCGTTTATACTGAGTTTGAATTGTCCCTGAAATCAGTCTGACACACACGACTCCACAGTGAAGTGGTGCCAGATGAATGAAAACAAGACGCCTGTCCTGCTCCGTTCTGGTGACCAAACACTCAGAATGTAAAACAAATCATTCCTACTTGAAGATGGTCTCCGCTTTTGTTGACATCGAAGACGCAGTTCCCAACTTCAGTTCTTCAGCTGCTTCCCAGAAAGCCAAGTTCTCACCTGGTGTACACACACACACACACACACACACACACACACAAGTTTGGTTCATCCACTATTAGCACAGATATGATTTGAGTTTTGACATGCATGATTTTATTTACATAAATCATATTTGTGTTTCCTGCATAGAGAACCTGACAAATATGTAGAATCGCTCTTTCTTGCTCACTTCTCCACTAAAACATAGAGTGTCCCAGTTTAGACACTGCATCATACACCTCCCTTAGTTCTACTGCTGAGTTCAGTCTTTGGTTCCTGTTACATGTTCTGTGGGGTTTACAGTGGCCCATTTCTTATTTGTGTGAAATAGAGGTCTGACACTGGCCTTTCAAGCATTTCTTCACATACAATCAATTAATGGTTGGAGAACTTCTTGGTATGCATTGCAAACTGTGAGTAAGTTCAGAAAATAAAAGAACGACTTGTGTAAATGTGTCACAGCCTAAAACTAAAGCGTATGTTGAGAGCTGTCATCTCTCAGCCACGTGAGGAACACTCATGCACCATCCTGAATGAGATGTGTTCCCTGCAGCTCGGTAACATACCGCTGAACTCCTTCTTGAGGAAGATCTTGAAGTCGTCTCGGCCTCGCAGGTCGCTCAGAAGCTCGAACAAGCTGAAGGACCAGCGCTCGACTCGCATCTTCGTAGGAAGATCAACTCTGAGCACAGACACAGGCTCAGTCACTGACTGTTGAAGTTACACTTAAATAAACATGCAGTAAAACAAGCCAGAAAAGATTCATGGTGCAGAATTGTGTCAAAAATTCATGACATAGCAACATCAGTCAATACAAGACAATGAAAATAACACAACTGAAAAGCTTACATTTGTTTTGATTGATAAAAAGTTAAAAGTAATTTTGGTGTCTGTACCATCTGATCCAACATCTCCTCATCATTCCCTCTGAAAGTCCTGACTACAGTCACTATAAACAGTTTGGAATGGAAACCTTTTAGAACTGTTGTGAAACAACAAACAGAAAGCGAAACCGTGTCCTTCACCTTCTCGTGTTAAGACTCCAGTATGCATCATGGTCGGTTTGCCAGGGGTTGCTGGGGAGGCAAGGAGCTAGGAATGGGTCGTGGTTCTTGTAGGTAGTGATGTATTTGACCAACCTGTGGAGACAGAACCAATTAGTCATTTTCCATTACAAGAACCTACCAACCTGTAACTGAGCCTTTAAATCTTCCACTGTCCTCCACATACTTTGTCGAAAGCTACATTTCAGCACCCTTCAGGAAGAGGTGCCAGTGGAGGGTAAATGCCAACAGGCTGAGAGGCTGTTTAGTCAGAAGGTTACACAGAATAGCCAGCCAAGCACCATCTACCCTAACACTGATCTTTCAGATATCATTTGCCAACGCAATTGGTGGCTCAATGTTCACGTCTGTGAATTCTGTCATGTCATCAGAACATCTGCTTCTCTGTGGAGTCAACATGCATGAAATTGGGCCGCTGGAGCTCTAATTTTTGGAGCTGCTCCATCATATGTTTTCAATAGAAGCTTGGAAATTTTCGAGTTCAAAGTTGTCTTTGAAGTTCCCGCAGTCTGGTTTCCTAAAAATGGATGTCCTGAGAGAAAAAATAAATGTATTGCATTTCTATTTTCCAATTTCTCATTTCTATGTCATGGTTTTACTGTCAGTCCTTTTCAGACAACCAGTCATATATTACATGAGCTGAGATCCGTAACCCTGGTAACCCAGAAGATGAAGGAGAAGCTTCAAACATGTTGTGAAAAGTCTGTATTTTAAACCCGACCCTAACCAAGGGTGTTGGTGCCTACGCCAAACCAAACTGAAATCTGAAACCTACGAAGCCTAACCCTAACCCAGAGTGTAAATGAGAATGCAGCTTAGTCCTATAAGAAGGTTGTTTTTGTAGGACAAGGTTGGCTGGAGGGAGAGTTAGTTTTCAGTCAAGCAGCTGTCGCCTCCTCTGATCTGTCAAACATCTCGTTGTGTTATCACATCTCAACTACAACAAACACAACAACATAGCACAAGCCTCCATGTCACTCCTGCATATATGAGCACAGAGATGTGAAACAATGGATGATGTCTGTCCAGCTGTTTTAAAAAATGTACATTCGATGCTTCCCAGTTTGTAAAATCCAGTGAAAAACAAAGAACAAAGAAAAAGAACAAAGTTGTCATAAAGTTTAGGTCATGGGAAGCTCCAGGTTGAAGGTCATGAACCAGACCAATGGAATCCTCAAAACCTCTGTGCCAACGCCGAACCAGTTCAAACAGATCGCTTCACGAGATCACGTTCTCTTCCTGCTCTCAACGAAGGCCGACGCTTTTTCTCTCGCTCCCTACTTTGCCCTTATCTGCCCTGCTTGCTTCTCTTTGTCCTGTGCTGTCTCTGTCTGAATCTATCAGAGCCTTTCTCTGCATTTCTCTCCGAAGCTGAAATCATGGATTTGATCAGCTGGTCGCTCAACGCAATTAATCCAATTTTCTCGACGAGAAGACAAAGGAGGGCCCGCCTGCCCTGATGGAACTCCTGGCAGGAGTGGAGGGTCGTGTGCCTCTCTATCCTTTCCGTGGAGGATGTTGAAGACGTCTACTTAATTGGGATCATGATAACAGGCTTCCTGCTGTTTGGAGTTCCTGCTTTATCGCAAAGTTTGGAAGATGATAGCAGCAGTTTTGACAATTGAGAAGCTGCCCGTCACTGAGGGAATAGTTCGGGCTGCCAACACTCAGACTCAAGCGATATGCGAACTTAATCGCAAACTGGACGGGATTCCAGAACTCATTCGCAAGATGGGCACCAACTTGGAGCAGTTGGACAAACCGATCCGGATGTAATGGGCCATCAAATTCGGCTTTTTGGATCACAGAGAGAACCAGTGGGACTTTAAGGACTGACGGTAAATCACAAGTCGGCCTGACCCAAACAATCTTTATCTTCATTCGGCTCCCCCACTTCGGCCTTGGAAGGCTGATACCTCTACACTCTCCTGGATGTTATGCAGACAGATGCTCGGCCCTCCCCTACCCTACTCTTCCTGTGAACTTAGTCTCTGGACCAGAACTCTTCAGGGTCCCCTCCACGTCACCAGCATCAGATGGTAGAGACGATGTTGAGTCTGGGCGGCAATGAAGTCCATGGGCTTACACATACACACACACGAAGACACACACACAACACACACAACACACACACACACACACACAACACACACACATCCCCTAGACTCCCCTGGCTGGCTCCACCCCCTCTCCCTCCCTCGTTACAGGGCAGGATGCTGCGGGTTGATGCGACGCGCCTCGTGGCTGTGCGCTGATGCGACGCGCCTCGTGGCTGCGGGTTGATGCGACGCTCCGTGTGGCTGCGCGCTCCCCCCAGTGTCTGAGCTGTGACACCTCCCCTCCCCAACACCCTCCCACATGTGCGTCTTGAGTTTTGTTGTGATGGTTTATCATGTTGCTGATGTGCTGAGGTGTTTTTTCCCTAATCCCACACTGTGCGCCCCCTGGAGGAGCCTAGTTTGGGAATTGCCTTTTCTGTCCCTCGTCTTCCCTCTTGTTTTTCCTTTTCCTATCTAAAATAAAGGGCGCTTCTTATGCTGGCTGACCTGAACAGTTTGTCCCTCCTGCCTCCCCTTGTTGTTGGTCACCGTCTTCTTATGTTTCTTGGACGGGAGGTAACTGGTGATTCCGTTGCTCTGTACTTGTGACATGTGCAATGACAAATAAATCTGATTCTGATTTGTTCTGTAGTGGGATGCTTTGTGAATATCTACAAGGCAAAAATCTCTCATTCATGAAATTGTATGCAGGTACAAGATGCTAAGTTAAAATGATAAGAAGAAACAAGAAATCGTTTTAAGCCCTATCAGGTTCTAAATGGTATCAGAAGAACTTACGCTCCGATGGAAACACTGGACTTCACCTTTGACCTCATGATGGCTTGTTGATAGAATATATTCTGGAATAAACAGAAGCACGTCATTTGAATTTGTACAATTCCAAGTGTTATATTGCAAAGCATTCAGAACTATCCACAGACGTCCGTCTGGGGAACTATCCTGCACACAGCAGCTGATTTAAACCGTTTCCAGCTTCAACGCATCAATAACACACAGGGAGGAAACGCAGGCATTGCTTTAATAATATAAATAGTTCAATCATTATTGATTAAATACATCAACTCACCTGGCGCCTGTACTGGTCAAAGGTGATTTTCTGAGAGATGGAAAGATAAACAATACTTTTAATAGAAACGCTGTGTCAGGTGCAGTCGACTAATGCTGGAGTTTAAATCTACTGAACAGTCACTTCACTGTGGAGGCTGACGGATCAGTATTTAACAATCTCTTCAGGGCACTGGTTTACTTGCAAAGCTACTTTACCTGCAAACTTAGTGGTTATTACAGTCATGGATAAAATGGAAAATGACTCAAGGTTTTCCAAATGTATATTCCTATGTTTCCCAAATCATAATCAGTTCAAGATGATTATGGAAGAATTAGTCCAAATTACAAACTGTCAAAATAATAATAATATCAATAATCATTATTTTGTTAATTTTAATCACGTCAGTTCTGGGTGGGAAATAAAATGGTGCACATACACATACATGTGTATTACAAACACACAGTGAGGTCCCAAAAGCCATCCCAGCAGACATCTGTTCATACAAATTTATCAGCTTAATAATTTCAGTTAAATGTGAATCAGTGACTAATGTGAGAACTCCTCACGATCTGTTTGCCACCTTTTGCTTTAATGCCGCTTTGATGGACTCTACCTGTGAAAATGTAATCCAGTCTCATGACAATTCGTGAAAAACGTAATCTATTGCTTTGTGTCAAAACGTTCACTTTCGTTGTCTCCTGAAGTGGCCGCTGCGTCTAAGGGAGAAGCTGAAGAGAAACCCACGGATAAAAATGGATTAAGATATATAGTAGTTACTCCATGGCCTCTCATTTACCATAAATACACTATAATGTTATAAGCACTCTCTAAGAGCCACACACATATATGTACAAGCAAGGCCTGATCTCTGTTGTAGTTACTCGTTGCTTTTCTTATTAAAATGAGATTAAATGGTAGACATTTAATTTCACCTATATATATCAATCTCATTTGTAAGTCAGTCCAAAAAACATGTTCCTCATCAATTTAAACCCCTAAATGCACCTAAAGTTTTATATTTCACCCTCCATTTAGGAGAAACGGCTATTTTGAAAAAAGAACTACAACTTCCAGTAGTGTTACAATACAACATGATTGGACACGCCATGAAATATGTAGTTCTTCTTGCGGCTTACAACTGGGCTTGTGTTTTTGTATTAATAAACTAAAATAAACGGATTGAAGTCCTGACAAATGTGCTACTATTAAAGTATAAAACATGTAGTATGGAATAAGTGTAAAAGAGTTCATCGTATTGTGGTATTTTTTGTGTTTTTATCACACCGGCAGTGTTTGGGGGAAATTAGCACTCGTTGCTAAGGCAACCCTGTTAGTGCGCAGCATCACCAGAAGAGATCCGTCCTACAGGGTCTGTAATGTTTTTGTGGCGGTAATGCACCTGAACATTGGATGCCAACCGCCAAATCAATAGAAGAAGAAGCAGCAGCTAGGCGAGGAGCTAACGTAGCCAGCCTTGATGAGCTAGCTAAAAGCTGCACAAAGCTGCAGATACATTCCCCACCGCTGGCCTCTCAGTTACAACAGTCACATTATAAATCGCTGTGACTACAGTCCATGTTCCAGTCTGTTTTCCTGCGTGTGTCCTTCTTTTCAGAGTTGTATTCGTTTACAGAGAAATGAAAGTAACGACGAGCATGTAGCCCAAACACAGTGAAAGCACTTCTATTTTACCACAAATAAACGATAGTAGCTATTAGCGATATCGTTGGGATCACTTTCAGAGCGGTCTCAGAACAGCTTCTCTCTGCCTGGATATGTTTCTTGTCTTTTCTATTTGAATGAATACGGAGCTCATAGCAGCGCCGGTGTGTCCAGAATGTTAGCGCTGGTCCATGTGGGCCACACGTCTGTACAGTGATCTCTGTAGTTATTAGTGTGGACGGACCAGAACAGGAGAACTGGTTCATGCTGACTGTTGGAAGACAAGAACGACAGAAACATCCCAGCATATGCGCTGTCTGATGGGAAAAACGTGTCCCAGACACGATAGATGATTCCAGTTGACATGTATTGGATTTGAAATCTGTGCTGGGGAACATGAAGAAGTCGGTAAATTGTGTCCCAGAACACGAAACAATGGAATAAGTTTTGTGACTATTTTACGAATTGCTGTGAGACTGGGTTGGAAAATATGTAATATGTGAATGTAAGCATGTCTTTGAGACGCCACTGTGTATCTACACATCCACACGAGTGACAGATTAAAGGAAAAACCTGATCTCTTGACCACTACAATGAGGGTAGAAGTGTCTCTGGTAACCAGCAGGGTTTGAGTCTGCTTGTCCTCTTACAGTGAAGGTTTGCTGCTGTGACCTCCATTTAACCCAGTTAATCCAGTTAACCTGTGACAGGAGACTTTAGACCAGCATGTCATCCCCAGACTAGACTTCCTGAGAGCCAGGATCCATCGCTGCTGTCCTGCTAAACACTTTAATACTTTATATTGGTTTTTCCTCTAATGTTTCACCCGTCTACATACATACACACATGATCACTTTATTGTCTCGTCTTCACCAGACTAAGGAGATCTGTTTGAAAGAAGAAACAGACAGGAAAAGCAATCTATGACAGAGCTTTGTTATTCTGAATAATTTCATCATGCAAAGAAAACAGATATCCCTCCACTTAGCCCTCATTCATAAAGTTCAGGACACCGTGTTCTGGCCTCAGCAGTGCTGCAGCATCACACTTTACAGAAAGTCAACATAACTGACATTTAAAAGTCCCTCCAGGGATTACAGTCCCTGCTGAACATAGGATTATAAATTAAAAAAAAAAAAAACAGCAAATCTGCATATTTGAGAGGCAAGATAGAAGCAGACAGCTCCTGGCCCTTTGAGTTAAACCCTAACCCTGTGAATCTGCTTCAGCTGTGTGTCTCATGATGCAGAAAATGTTGGATGAATGTTAGTGATGCATTCATTATTTCTGTAGCATGTCCTGGGTGTAGGTGGTGAAGCAAGTTAAACAGCTGAAAACACTGTCAAGTCCTTTCATCCATAACAGTAGCAGTAGGACTATGATGTACTGGTACTCAGCTACATTACATCTGTGGCTCTACCTCACACTTAA